AGGTCTGTGGGGGGGTTGGGGTTCCTGGAGGTGGTCCTGGGAGAGATTTGGGGGTTCCAGGGGGTCCCAGGACCACCTTGAACCGGGGGCTGAGGGTTTTGGGGAGAGGGGGCACAACAGGGGTTCCCAACCCCCGTTTTTGTGGGGTTCTCTCATCGTGCCCCTCCCCAAAAAGCTTCAAGGGCCCCCTGAAGTGGCTCCTGTTCCACCGGCCTGTGCCCCCTGATCCAGGACCGCTCCAGTGAGTCTAGGGGGAATTTGTGGGGATTTTGGGGCATTCTGGGGGGGAGTTTGAGAGGGTTTTGAGGGGGCTTTTTTGTGCTTTGGGGGATTTTGTTGGGAGTTTAGGAGGAATTATTTGGTTTCTGGAGAGAATTATTGGGTTTTGGGGGCTTATGGGATTTTGGGGGGTTTTGTAGATTTGGGGGGTTTTGGATTTTGGAGGATTTAATTTGGGTTTTGGGGGGGTTTATTGAAATTTTTGGGAGTTTTTTTTTAATTTTGGTGGGTTTCGCTGGAATTTTGAGGGATTCTCTGGGGTTTTGGGGGGTTTTATTTGGATTTTTAGAGGGTTTTGTTTTTAGTGGAACTTTGGGGGGCTTTTGGACGTCTGGGGGGGCTTTGGTGTTGTCCCCAGGTGCAGGGAAGGGCTGAGAGGCACCAAAATCTCCTTAAAACCCCCAAGAGTCCCCATAAAACTTGCAAAATCCCATTAGAACACTCTAGAATTTCGATAAAAGCCCACAAAATCTCCTGAAATCCTAACAAACCGCTCAAAATCCCATTTAAACCCCACAAATCCCCCAAAAAGTCCCCAAAACCACAATAAGTCCCACAAAATCCCCCCAAGACCCAAAGAAATCCTGGCAACACCCAAAAAAACCCCCACAAAACCCCACCAAAATCCCGCCCCCAAAAAATTGCAAAAAAACCCCAAACCCTCAAAGAATCTCACTAAATGCCCCCAAATTCCAATAAAATGCCCCCAAAATCCTTAAAAATTCCAGTAAAACCATGAAAACTTCCAGAGAATCTAGCAAAATCACAGTAAATCCCACCAAAATTTAAAGAAAACTTAAAAAATTTCAATAAACCCCCAAACATCCCCAGAAAACAACCCCCCAAAGCACCAATAAAACCAAAATCTAAACCCCTCGAAATTCTGCAGCTTCCCCAAAACCCTATAATGCTCTTCAAAAAACCCAATAATTTCCCCTAAACCCCCTGACAAAATTTCCCAAAGCCCAAAAAAGCTCGGATGTCCCCAAAACCCCTCTCAAAAGCCCTGGCCCCTTCCATTCTCAGCTCAGTCCTGTCCAGGGATGCGGCTACACGCAGAGGACCCCGAGCGATCCCGGTTCTGATCCTGGTGCCAATCTCGGTCTCAGCTTCACTCCCGGCCCATTTGGGTGATTTTAGGACAAACTGGGCATGTTTGGGGTGGGTTTCAGATCCTTTGGAGTGACTTCAAGTCTTTTAGTGTGGATTCTGGGTCCCTTTGGCTGACTTTAGGCCCTTGTGGGTGAATCTTAATCCTGCATGGCTGATTTTAGGTCGCTTGTTTTGGTGGTTTTGGGCCCATTTGGTTAAATTTTTGGCTTCTTTTGTTAATTTTAGTTTTAACCAAGTCTTTTTAGGGTGATTTTGTGTTCTCTTCTGTGGGCTTCAGGCATGTTTGGGTGATTTTAGTTCCCTGTGGGTGATTTTGGTAAAAACTACGCAGATTTTAGGGTGGATTTTGTCACATTTGGGTAATTTTAGGCAAAATGAGATACTTTCAGGGTGGACTTTAAGCCCATTCGGGAAATTTAGGGTGATTTTAGGCCATTTTGTGTGGGTCGCAAACCATTTTGGGCAATTTTAGGCCCCTTTGTTTAGATTTTAGACCCCTTTGGATAATTGTAATCACATTTGGCTGATTTTAGGCCAAACCTGGTGGGTTCCTGCAGCATATGAGGCCCTTTAGGGTGATTTTAGGCCAAATTGGGCCCTTTTAGGACCGCATGACCCCTTTCCCCTCGCAGTTCAGAGTTCAGGAAAGGGGGAGGAGGAGGAGGGAGGGAGGAAGAGGCGGAGCGGCAGCAGGAAGCAGCAGAGGAAGAGACTAGGGGGAAATCGCATGGTCCTGGCGGTTCCTGAACTCACCACAGCCCTGGGAGCATCACCGGTGCCTGGGGAGGGGGAACTCAGCCCAAATATGCCAGGGGGTCCCTGGGTTTGGGGATTTTTTGGGGGAATGGTTGGAGCTTGCGGGGCTCTAAAGACGAGCTGCAGGTGCCCCTTGGGGGGGTCCCCGGGAGGTGTTTTTGGGCCGTCCTGGTGTGGGTGGCAGCAGAGTCCTGGTGGGGGGACATTGGTTTTGGGGAGCCCCGGGAGAGCTGTGGTTTCCCTGAGTGGGAGCCCAGAGAGAGGAGAGCCCCAGAAGGCCAAAGCGGGGTCCCTGAGAGGGAGAGACTCTTGGGATTCCCGGGACCCTGGCAGGTGGGATGGCTGGGAATGGGGTTCAGGGTTCCTGCTGCTGGAAGTGGCTGCTCCCACTATGAGCCCAGTTGCTCCCCCTGTTTCCCGTTTCCTCAGCACTCCCACTATGAGCCCAGTCCCTCCCAGTCATTCCCTATGATGATGCAATTTGCCCCCAGCAAGGTCCCACTTTCTGCAAGTTGCTCCCACTTTCATCTAGCATGTTCCCAGTTCTCCCAGTTGCCCCTAGCATAGTCCTAGTCCTTCCAGTATGGTCCCAGTCTCTCCCAGTAGGGCCTCAGTCACTCACACTTGCCACCAGCATGACCCCAGGTCTCCCAGAGCATTCCCAGCCACTCCCAGTTTGCTCCCAGGCATTACTTCTATGATGTCAGACACTTCCAGTATATTTCAGGTACACTGAACTTTCTGATAGTTATTACCAGGCACTTCTAGTTACCTCAGTGAACCTCATGGTTTACTTGCCCCTATTTTTATCCCAGTTGCTCCCAGTTCTTCTGAGTGCGTCCCCTGTTGGCTCCCAGCAAGGGCCTGGTAGCTCCCAGTAACCCCCAGTCAGGGTCCAATGACACCTGCTCTAATCCCAGTATAATTGTGGCCACTCCCAGTATGATCCCAGTCACTTGCAGTCTAATTCCAGTGACTCCCAGTCTGATGCCAGTGGCCCCCAGTGTGATCCCAGTTGCTCCCTGTCAGTGCCAGCATGACCCCAGTAGCCTCCAGTGTGATCCCAGTGAATCTCTGTCTCTCCCAGTGTATCCCAGTCACCCCCAGCATGCTCCCAGTCACTCCCACTTCCTCCCAGTTGCTTTCAGCACAATTCCAGTTTCCTACAGCCACTCCTAGTCAATCCCAGTATGATCCAGTCACCCTCAGTATGATCCCAGTTGCCCCCAGCATAGTTCCAGTTGTTCCTAGTTCCTACAAGTATGATCCCAGTTGCTCCTAGAATAGTCCCAATCCCTCTCAGCATGGTCCCTGTCACACCCAGTGTCCTCCAGTGTAGATTCAATCACTTCCAGTTTCCTGTAGAGTAGTCCCAGTCATCCCCAGCATGGTCCCAGCTGTTCCCAGTGTTGTACCAGTTATCCCTAGCATGGTTACAGACACTCCCAGTTGCCCCAGTGAGGCTCTAGTTACTTGAGAATGATCCCAGTCTTTTCCAGTTACTCCCAATTGCCTCTACCATGATTCCAGTTTTTGTTGCCCAAAGTGTGGTCCCAGTTGCTTCCAGTATGATCCCAGTTGTGGTCTCAGTCCCCTCAGCATGGTTCCAGCACCTTCCAGTTGATCCCAGTTGCTCCCAATATGTCCACATTTTCCTCCCAAAATGGGCCCAGTAGCTCTCAGTAACCCCCAGTCAGGTTCCATTCACGCCCATTGTAATACACTCCCAGTTGCCCCAGTGAGGCTCTAGTTACTTGAGAATGATCCCAGTCTTTTCCAGTTACTCCCAATTGCCTCTACCATGATTCCAGTTTTTGTTGCCCAAAGTGTGGTCCCAGTTGCTTCCAGTATGATCCCAGTTGTGGTCTCAGTCCCCTCAGCATGGTTCCAGCACCTTCCAGTTGATCCCAGTTGCTCCCAATATGTCCACATTTTCCTCCCAAAATGGGCCCAGTAGCTCTCAGTAACCCCAGTCAGGTTCCATTCACGCCCATTGTAATCCTAGTGGCTCCCAGGATGATCCCAGCAGGACCCATAATCAGTCACACAGCCAGTATGGTTCCAGTCACTTCCAGTATGATCCCAGTCACTCCTGGTATGATCCCAGTTGCATCCAGTGACTCCTAGATCCTCCCAGTATTATTCCAGTCATGCCCAGAGTGACTCCCCGTAACTCCTAGTGTGGTCCCAGTTGCTCTCAGTGACCTCCAGTATGGTTCCAGTCATGGCAAACACCTTTCCAGTCACTCCCAGTCTGATTCCAGTAGGATCCCAGTCACTCTTAGATACTCTCAGTACTATTGCACTCACTCCCAATATGATCCCAGTAGGACTCTGACATAGGCACACCTCCTGCCATTATCACTCAGCATGGTTCTAGTTGCTCCCCTTTACCCCCACTATGGTTTCAGTCTCTCCCAGTATAACCCAGTTGGTCTCAGCATGTTCCCAGTCACTCCCAGATTCCTAGAGTTGCTTCCAGCCTGATCCCATTTGATCACAGCCACTCGCAGTCACCTCCCAGTTGCTGCAAGTATGATCCACTATGATCCCAGTCTGCCTCAGCATGGGCCCAGCTGCTTCAACTGTGATCCCAGTTGCCCCCAGCATGGTTCCAGTTTGTCCCTGTTTCTCCCAGTGTGATGCCAGTTGTCCCTAGTATAGTCCTAGTGACACTGTGGATGATCCCATTCCCTTCCAGCGTGGTCCCAGTTACTGCCAGTGCAGACCCAGCCACCCCCATTCACTTCCAGTTGCCCAAATTGTCATCCCAGTTCTCCCCAGCATGGTTCCCGTTGTTCCCAGTGTGGTTCCAGTCACCCTATGGTTACAGACACTCCCAGTATACCCCAGTTGCTCTCAGCATGCTTGTAGTAATTCCCAGTCATTCCCAGTTGCCCCAGTAAGTTACCAGTTACCCCAGTATAGCATAGTCCCTGCCAGTGAAGCCACTCCTGGAATCCCCCAGCCTTCTCTGTGTTTCCCCCTCCCGGATCTCCCGAGAGGAGCCTCAAGGGCTGGAAGTCCCCAGCCAGGGTCCCCAGCAAGCCCCAGTGTGGATGTGCAGCCCCCACTTTTCCCAGTTTCCCTCTCCTTTTGCCCAGATTGGGTTCCCCCCGCCCCCAGCGGGTGGGAGCAGCCGAGAGCCCTGCGCTGCCCATGCCGAGCTGTCCCAGCTCCAGCCCCGCTCCTGCTGCGGGCTGAGAGGGCTCCGGGAACGGGGCAGCAAGGGGGTCACTACTGCTGGGGGAGGAGGAGGAGGGATGAAGAAGGAGACCGAGAAGGGATGGAAGTAGGAGAAGGAGATGGGCTTAGGCAGGAGGAGGAGGGATGGAAGAGGAGGAGAGGGAGGAGGAGAAAGAGGAGGAACAGAGGAGGGTCAAGGAAAGGAGAAGGAACCATGAGGTTGAGTGCTCCCTGAATTTGCAGTCCCCCCACCGGTGGGATCATCACCCCTGCCCCCCACCCCATCCTGCAGGTGATAGGGAAGGGGGACCTTGGCCCCGATATTCTGGGGGCTCCGTGGGTTGGGTTTTTTTGAGGGGGATGTTTGGAGAATGAAGAACTGTAAAGCTGAGTGGAAAAGGCCCCTTTTGGGGACATTTTGGGGGTGCCAGTGACAGCTGCCGGCAGAGACAGCCTGGAGGAGCAGAGCCCTGTGTCCCCCAGGAGCCCAAAGTGGGGAGCCCAGAGAGGGGGGAGCGCTGTCATTGGCGGGACCCTCAACAGCCTGGAGAGGGGCAGGGGGGACTCCTTTGAGCTCCTGCAGCCCAGAGCAGAGAATGAGGGGAGAAGGGACCCTGGGACCCGAAAAACTCCTGGCATCCCTAAATGGGGAGACTGAGGAGGGGGAAACTTTTTGGATTCCTGTGATTCACAGCAGCCTGGGGAGGACAGGGACCGAGGAGAAGGGAGACCCACAATATGAGTGTGACACTGAGCAGCTGGGATAGGGAGGAATCCCCAAAGACCAAAGTGGAGAGACCAGAGATGGGGATTTCCTGGGAGAGTTTTCAGGGATGAATCTTGGTATTCTGGAGGATTCCATGGACCCCAGATGCTCGGTGACTTCCAGAGATGAACTTGAGCAGAGAGACCTTCAAACTCGACATGCTCATCCCTTGTTTTCCCCCAGACCAGGATTTCCCATTTCCATCCCTTAGCTGGATGGAGAAGGAGGGTGCAAGGACGAGGAAGATGCCACGGGACACCCAGGCAGGTAAGGAGGAAGCCAGTGCCCCTTTCCCTCTCTCTCCTGCTCCGTCTCCCAGCCCTGCATGGCCCCGGCTGCAGGACAAACTCCACTGCTGACACTGTCCTACCGGGGACGCACTGGGGGGCTCTCCTTGCCCTTCCCTGTGGCACGGAGGCAAATCCCATCCTCTCCTTGCCCTTCTTCCTCCAGACAAGGAGCTGCAGATGGAGGCCTGGGAGGAGAAATCCCCGTGGCAGAATCTTGTGGAAGAGGCCATTTTGTGCAGCTCCACAGCACAGGAATCAAAGGGGAAAGAAAATCCCCGGAGACCCCACACAAGGAGGGGGTGCAAACGCAGATTGCAGAGATCTGAGGAGGAAAGACCCAACCTGGGCCGGGAAGGTGGCCAGAAATCAGGCCAGAGCTTGGACCTTGTGGTCCATGACCAGCTTCATGATGGGGAGAAGCCCCACAAGTGCTTGGAGGGTGGGAAGAGCTTCAGCCGGAGCTCCCACCCGATCCGCCACCAGAGGCTCCACACTGGGGAGCGGCCCTACAAGTGGGGGGAATGTGGGAAGAGCTTCAGCCGGAGCTCCCACCCGATCCGCCACCAGAGGCTCCACACTGGGGAGCGGCCCTACAAGTGGGGGGAATGTGGGAAGAGCTTCAGCCGGAGCTCCCGCACCAACCTGATCCAGCACCGGAACATCCACACTGGGGAAAGGCCCTACAAGTGTAGGGAATGTGGGAAGGGTTTCAGCCAGCGTGCCAACCTGGTCCAGCACCAGAACATCCACACCGGGGAGAGGCCCTATAAGTGTTCAGAGTGTGGGAAGGGGTTTCGGATCAGCTCCCATCTCCTCGTGCACCATCGGATTCACACAGAGGAGAGGCCCTTCCGCTGCCCCGACTGTGGGAAGGGATTCATGTACAACTCTCACCTCATCAACCACCAACGGATTCACTCAGACGAGAGGCCCTTCCGCTGCCCCGACTGCGGGAAGGGCTACAAGCACAATTCCACCCTGATCACGCATCGGCGCATCCACACCGGAGAGAGGCCCTACGAGTGTCCCCAGTGTAGGAAGAGCTTCTCACAGTGCTCAGCCCTGACTGAGCACCGACGGAGGCACCGGTAAGGGAAGCCCTGCGAGTGCCCCGATTTCATGAAGAGCTTCGTGTGCTGCTCCAACTCCATCCCCCACTGGAGGACCCTTGTTGGGAAGAGCCCTGGTGATCCACATTTGCTGTGATCCATGTTGGGAAGGCACCTAGCTGCTTATCCTTTTGTTTTGGCCTTCATTTTCTTCTGATTAATTTTCGTCCCTTAAAAACAGCCAAAACAGGGTTAAAAAGAAAGAAACTGATCAAAGATATCTAAAGTCCCACCATTTCACAGTTGTTTGAGGGGGAATTTAGGATTTGGGGACGTAATCTGGAGGATTTGTGGGTTCTGGGAGGATTTTGGGCAGTGTTCTCCTCTTTGCACTGCAGAAACCAAGAGGGATCAACCTGTCTCCTCAAAATAACTCAATCCCACTGAAAACCATACAGTTGTACCCCAAAAGGGCTCAATCCCAACTCAGAATTGCTTGTTCTCTCCTCAAAAATATCAATCCTATGCCAAACTCACTTGATTCCACAGCCGCCATGGGGAGAAGGGGTTGGAAGGAGATTGGGAGAAGTGAGATCCAAATTTGGAGCAGTGGATCGGGATTGTGTGCAGCTGGGTGGGTGGGATGTATTTGATAGTAAATAGAAACTTCAGAGTTACTAATTTCTGTTCTATTCATTTTCAGTGAGTTGCAATTCTGTTTCCAGAGTGCCACCTTCTCAGCTGATTTTGTTTGTGTCCTCCTTTCTCTCCTGCCTCTCTCTTTTTCTCAGTGCCTCCCTTGAGCCAGGGCAGCTGCCACCAAAGACGCTCCCCTGATTTAATTCCCAGTGCAGGAGCTACAACAATGATTGATGAAGTTATGAAGGCTGGCAGTGAAATGTCACTGTAGCATCTTGCTCTACTTGGCTTTCGGCCCCTTCCTAAGAGCTTTGTCTTGAAGGGCAGGAATACCTTTTCCTCGGTGCGAATGCGATTGTATGGGTTGGAATCGTATGGACTGGGATTGTATAAACTGGGATTGTACAGACTGGGATCATATGGACCAGGATGGCTGCACCAGAACAATGCAAACTAGGCAGTCCCACCCCACCCAGGGATCCCTCCCAGTCCTGCATGGGGGCATAGCCAAAACTCTCCAGAGTGAAGACAGAGGTCCTGTAGTGATCCCGGTGCCAATCCTGTTCCCAGTTTTGGTCTCAGTCTCTGTCCAGGAGCGCTCCCAGTGTCAGTCCCAGTCCCGGTTCTGGTGTCACTACCAGTCTCAGAGCACTCCTGGAGCGCTTCTAGTGCTAATTCCCGTCCCGCTGTTGATCTCAGTCCTGCAGCTGTGCTGGTCTCGGTCTCAGTCTGAGTCCCAGAGCAGTGCCAGTCTCGGTGCCAGTGCCGCTTCTGGTTTCAGTTCTGGTCTCAACCTCTGTCTCTGAGTTGTCCTGGTTCTAGTGCTGGTACCTGTGCTGGTCTTGGTCCTGGAGTGCTCCTTGTGCATTCTCAGTCCCAGCCCCAGAGTGCTGCCAGTCTCGGTGCTGGTTCCAGTGCTGGTCTCGGTGTCAGTCCCGCAGTGCTCTGGCTGGTCTCCATCCTGGTCCCAGTGCCAGAGAAGTCCTGGTGTCAGTGCCGGTCTCAGTTCTGGTGCCGGTTCTGGTCCCAGAGCACTCCCAGTGCCAGTCCTGGTTCTGAAGCACTCCCGGTGGCAGTCCCAGTGTCGGTCTTGGTCTCAGTCTTGGTCCCAGTGCCAGTTCTGGTGCCAGTTTCAGTTTCAGTCTCGGTCCCAATAATGGTGCCTGTCCCAGAGCAGTGCTGGTCTTGGTTCTGGTATCACTTCTGGTGCCAGTCTTGGTCTCAGTCCCTGAGATTTTCAGCTCATTTTGGTGATTTTAGGCCAATCTGGGCAGGTTTAGGGTGGGTTTTAGATCTCTCGGAGTGATTTCAAGCATTTAGTGTGGATTTTAGGTCCCTTTGGATGATTTAAAGCCCATATGCATGGATCTTAAGCCCACATGGGTGATTTTAGCCTTTTCTTGGTGATTGTGGTTTCAGGATTCAAATAGTGTTGTCTTTCCCTACAGCTGTTCCTTCACCTGGATTGGGAGGGCCTTTTGGCCTCTGGACCCACACTTTGGCTCCATTATTAGGACTGCTGGATCCAAATCCTTTATCTCCAGCAACAGTGATCATTGGAGGTGCATCTCCTTTTTTCACAATTGTTTTCAAAACTGCAATATCAATAACTGTGCTAGTCTGTCATGGAGTTGAATAATCACCTTATTCACTATTGTTTAGTGACTTTAATTACTTTAATTCCTCCTTGATAATCTCTATCAACTCCTTCTCCCATGACATGAACACTTTTCAAAGCCAAGCTCCAGCGAGCAGTTATCAAACCAAAGTGTCCTGGAGGAACTGGAGTTCCTATGTCAGTATTGATAACTCTCATTTGCTTTTGATTTATCCTGATTAATTCTAATTCTAATTCAGGTCCAGCCCTGCAGCCTTTGGGCAGACCCTGTCACGGGCCATCACACCCAGAATAATTTCTCAGGAAGTTAAAGCATCACTGTCCATGGTTGTATTTGCAAATTGGGTGCAGCCATGCACACCCAGGGGGTTTCCATTTCCCAGGGGGCCCCTTGTACCCTTGTTAAAGGTATAGAGCACATCTGAGAGATGGACTCTCCATGGGGACAGGTTCCCATCTCCTCCTTTTTTCAGCTGCTCTTTGAACAACGCCTTTAGCCATTCAATCAATCCTGTGGATTGTGGATAGTCTGGTGTATGAAAAACCCAGCAGTCTTAATAATTGTATTTTTCACAGTAACACACAAAGCATTCCACATCACAGTATCAGCAAACCCCATAAAAATAGCCAATTTCATCCCTTCCTCCTTTGTTTATTGTATACAATCTCACAAAGTTTACCACTGACATTCAGGTCCTGGCCAATGCTTTTCTGTAGGATATTTAGTGCTAGATCCTTGAGCAGCCAAAGGTGGTAAATCAGAATTGTCAGCATTATTTCACATTATTATTTTATATATAGATAAAGATACAGATTTAGATAGACATATTGTTAGACAAAAATGTTTATAAATATATATTAAAATTTTGTATTACATTTATGTATATAGTTATTTATTATATTAATATTCTTTCTCTTGAACAAATTAATACAAGCTCAAGAGGAAAAATTTCTGCTGTTGCTCCATGTGAGAGTGTTCCAACAACCATTCCTTCTATTGGTGCTGTTTCCAATGTGCTGTTAACAGAATTCATCCTCATCTTTACCCATCCACAAGTTGTTTTCCTTTCTCCATATGCAATTTTTGGATGCATTTTAATACATCCAGTGGTTCAGCTTCTTTAAACTGACTGCCCCATTGCTCACACGGTGTTCTGACCTCAGTCCACTTCAGAGTTAGCGAACTCCAGGGAAGGGCTTCCCATCGGTGAATTTCAGATGGGACAGATTCCTTAAATTTACATTTAAGAAGTGACATTTTGTTGCCATCTGGCCAGACTGTGCCAATTTTGTTTTACCAGTGGGCAGGGTCAGCACCAAAGACACAAACACGAACTGAAGGAATCAGTGTCATTTACTGTAGTTCAAAGCAGCAAAGAGTCACAGAAGGAGCAGCTCAGCAATGCACCCAACCATCACCACCAAAGATTGCAGCTGTGATTAAGATCCATCACTGTCGTGGTGAGGGTGGTTGCAACAAACCTCTTTGGTTCCCTAATTTCAGGTGGAGAAAATGAGAAAGCAGGTTCGATGGAGTTGCCTGGAAAGAACTTTAATAAAGGGTGAAAAACAGCAAACGTGGAGTAGCTGAGCACAGTATGAGGGGCAGCATCCAGAGACCCAAAACAAAGGGGAAGCAGCAACATATACACTTGGGGTTGGAACATTCTGGAACTATAACTATATAGGGGAAACAAGTAATCAATAGGGAAGCAGAACTTGGACAACATAATAACACCAAGGGCTTATGGGGGAACTCTCAGGCTCGCCCTAAGTTAAATAATTCCCAGGGCTTGAAACTAATGCCCAGTTCTTTTGGGGTAAAATCTGGCTGACTTTGAGTCACAGCTGGGCCAATTCCCACATATCCCCCTTTCTGTTTTCTAACAAAAATGGAACTGAAAGAACTTTGCAAAACTCTATAAAAACATCCAAATAAGCATGGAACAACCAACACCACAATAACAGCAACCAAGTAAACCAGCAGTCCCCTCTTGACTAAAGACATCATCCAACCCTTCAGTCCCCAGGATTAGAAGAGTTTATTCAACCAGTCTTTGTTTTCCACTTGAAGTTTCTTGAACCCTTCCCTCAGCACTTGAATGCTGTTGTGGATTGACTCGCTGTGGCTGGAGAGGTTCATGCAACACATTCCTTCAAAGTCCTCACAGCTGTACTCATGTGCCAAAAGTAGCAAGTCTATTGCTGCCCTGTTCTGCAGGGTGGTGTGTCTGATGGTATCTACGTCTGAGATCAGGCCACTCAATGCAAGGGAGGTAGCATTGGTTTGCTTACTTAGCAGGCACCCAAGATGGTCTAATTGTCCTAATGTTATCGTTCAGGAACACATAATCACAGAATGATTATATGCAGGTGCTTTTGTTGAAGAGCTCTGGGTGTCATGGGTACAAACCCAAATCTGACTCCGACAGGGGTTCAGGATGAACATGCTTTTGTACCCTTATCCTTATATAACTACTTATTAATTATTAAACTTATATTGTTCTATTGTATACATTGATTTCATCCAATCATGGATTTTTGTCATTTCCATCAAACGCTGCCAACATAGTTTCTCATTATTCTTGTAACGATTAAACAATAATTATATCCAATTACCAAAAAATCATTGCATCTAACAATCACATCATTTATCATAGTCATTAAATAATTATACAGGTGCAGCCTAACATTTTCCCAGGGCCTACCAGGCCTGTCCTTCCTTTCTAACTCCCCTGAATATTCCATGGTTTTAGAAACATTTTATCCCTATACTATCACTAAGGCTTTGGCTGCAGCCACCCAAGGCAACAAGATGGAGGCTGCTATTATCTTGTTTTTACTCCAATACATAACACTGTCTTTGCAATCAGATTCAAAGTAGTGCATAGATCTTTTCACTCTGTCTCTCTGGCTATGAATCATTTACATGTTGGGTGCCAGCAAGGTAAGCCTCCCCAAGCTGCAAGGTCTGCCTTTGATGAGTGAAGCAATACTGGGCCATGCTCTGTCCCTGCAAATAAGAAACACACCCTGTGGCAACTGGAGTGGGTAGCTACTGGACCAAGAAATGATAGAAGAGGTGTAATTACACCATTGGCCCTGATTTTTGTAAGTGGGATGGTATGGGGAAATGTCCCTCCTGCTAGTTTCTCTTTCTCTTGTAAATTTGGGTCTTTCACCCTCTTCCTATCTCAGTCAGTAATAAAACTTTACACAGAAGTCCATTTTTACAGAGCCGAGAATTTCTAGCTCCTGGGGTTCAAGTGGTGCACGCGGGATCTTCTGGGTCCAGGTGTTGACAGAGCTGCATTTCCATTTGCTGTCAGGATTGTCACCTCACATACTATGGATGGCATCCTCAGTTATCAGCCACATCCGTAGATAACCCTACTAGGCAGGTGGAAATGGGGTCATCGGGGCTAGCAACGGACAGGCACAGGATATCTTGTTTTATGGCTTTTGCTAGGGTTGCCCATACATTCTGTTTTGTTGGTGGAACTACCCATCCACTCACAAGGAGCCTGGTTGCAAACAGGCTGAGGAAGGTAAGCAAAAGCTTCTTATGGGTCATTTGCAAAAGAGTTGTCTGGTCTGTGTATCAAAGTCATAGTCTGGTGGTTCTTGTCTGGGGGTGGAGTTGGGGTGTTCCTCTGGTGAATCCTCATTCGGTGGCTGTAGATAGGACTTGGTGTTTTTCACTGGAGTCCACCAAGGTCCTCCACTGGTGGAGACAGAAGCATATCCCCTCTTCCAGGTAATTAATGGAAATGACCCCAGAATCTGGGTCATTTCAGGTTCTTTTATCAATACATGTGGCCTTTCTTTTAACTGAGCCGGTGAAGTATTTGAAAAATGTCAAATGACAGAAGGACTGGTTTCCATAAACAAATTATTTAAAACATTAAAGACATACAGTGCCTTGCTTAGTCTCTCTGTAGTGGGCAAGGTCTCTTCTCCCCCTTTCTGGTTATCTAGAAGGCCTTTGAGAGTCATGAGTTCTTTCTACATTAGATTGATGTTGAGGATTTTTTGCAGGTTGAGGAGTTTTTTCAAAACCATGGCCATATTCAGCTGATGCACAATCCAGCCTGCTGGCAACAATGGATAATAGACAATGATGGACATATTCAGAAGTAGTGTATCCTTGAGAAAGATAAAAGGAGAAGAGCCATCAAGACTCAGCAAGTTTGAGAAAGTGAGAAAAATGAAGCAAAGGGTGGGCCAGATGACCACAGTAAAGGGCAGGAAAAATCAGACTATCCAATCAGCATTCTAATTTAGTTGCGTGAACAGCTAGAATTAACCAATGATGTATTAGCTAGAGACACATGAACAGTAGAAACTTATCATAAATATAGCCTTTTTAGGAGTAATAAATTTGGCTCCACTTAATCACATTGATCATGGCATGATGTTCCATTCCTGATCCTCCCCCCAGTTGGGTCTGTCCCAGCCACTGGAATACTCACAAAATCGAAGATTCTTGGCAACTAAAATCTCGGAGGTAGTCCTTGATCCAGGTTGGAAAGCTCCTCTCACATGTGGAACGGAGGGGTTGACTTTCCCGCCCGCCGGGAGCTGCAGCAACCAGAAAGTGTGCGAATTCACCAGCGGTACTTGACGGACCATGAACTCATGAATTCACTTGGCAGGGGCGTCCGTGCAACCTGGAGACAGCTGAGCCGTGCACCAGTGTGCCGCAGTCGCTGGAGGCGATCGGGGCAGGCGCCAGGAGCGGCCGTGCCCTACCTCTGCCGCCGGCCGGCAGGGTCACGGCTAGGCTGCTCGAAACGCGGGCTCGACGTCAAAGCACTGTGATGAAGGAAATAAGGAAGGACCTTGTGCTGGCATCTCCGAGCTGCTTTATTTCTCTCCCGCGCAAGGATGGTGCTGCTTGGAATGGGCAGCACGCACAGGAGCTGTTCTTTCCCGCGGTGGCAGCAGCGCCGGCGTGAGTCAGATGGCGCAGCACTCGCAGGCAGCGGCAGGCGCGGCGCTGACAGTGTCTCTATTCAGGGCGGTGACAGTCTGTCTCTATTCAGGACAGTGACAGTCTGGCTCCTGGCGGCGGTGACAGTCTCTCTCCTCGCGGCAGTGACAGTCTGTCTCTATTCAGGGCGGTGACAGTCTGTCTCTATTCAGGACAGTGACAGTCTGGCTCCTGGCGGCGGTGACAGTCTCTCTCCTCGCGGCAGTGACAGTCTGTCTCTATTCAGGGCGGTGACAGTCTGTCTCTATTCAGGACAGTGACAGTCTGTCTCCTGGCGGCGGTGACAGTCTCTCTCCTGGCGGCGGTGACAGTCTCTCTCCTCGCGGCGGTGTCAGTCTCTCTCCTCTCGGCGGTGACAGTCTCTCTCCTTGCGGCAGTGACAGTCTCTTTCCTTGCGGCGGTGACAGTCTCTCTTCTCGCGGCGGTGGCCGCACGGCACTGACAGCAGCAGTGCTCATGTGAGTGATCCCTCTCTCCCGGCCGGAGCCGCGGCCGCACGGGAGGCGGCAGCGGCGCCGGCGGCGCGGGCAGGAGCTCAGGTGCTCTCTGAGAGATCCAATCCCCGCTGGGCACCTCAGGGCACAAGTGGCACTGCCTGTTCATGGGCACACAACTGATGTCTGCCTGGAATGGGGCACATGTATTAATATCTGTTGATTTCATAATATACAAGCACATTTGTAGCTATGATATTTTATTAAAAATCCTTTCCTGGGATTTTTCCCCTCCTGAGGAGCTGAGGGCCTCAGGAGAGAAATGTAAACAATAACTATATGCTGCTGTGGAATGCAACAAGTGCATCTTCCATTGATCCATGTAGATTGTTTTCAATAGATGACCAATCACAGCCAACTGTGTCAAGGCTGTGAGCAGTCAGAAGATTTTATTATGCATTCTATTCTATTCTATTCTTGTGCTTTGTAGCCTTCTGATCTCCCTGTTCTCTCTGTTCTTTTGGTATAGTTTTAATGTAGTATTTTAATATAATATTTAACATAATAAATCAGCCTTCTGAAATAGAGTCAAACCTTGTGTCTCCACACACAGAAAGTTCATCACAACACACATTTTTATTATCTGGGTCATTTGAGTACTTTTAAGAAATGGCAAGAAGTGCGAAGAATGGGAATTTCCTGGAAGTGTACTGATGGCAGAAGAAATACTGATCTTCCCCTCTATTTGTGTTACCAGTATTCATTCTATTATTTCTTCTCCCTCTTCCTTCAGGTGTTTCCAGCTCTCCTGTTTAAATGGGCGTGTCTAAGCACATCTCTTCACTAGACAAGCTGGATCTATGACCTTCCTGTTGCTCCCAGGTTTCATCCCCCAGATGCCCTCTGGTCATTCACGTGCCTCTCAACTGACTGGTTTCATACTTTGAGCTTCAAGGCATTGCCCAATGTTTCTGAAGCTCAAATCAATATATAATTAATCATCATCTTAATTGTGTTTTTAGATAAAAACATCCAGCAGAGGAATGACTTTTGCATTGGATGGAGCTGTGCCTTCCCTTGGCTTTGCTGGGTGAGAATAAATGAAGATCCCTCTGTGTACTCTGAGTTGGACACACTGGAGAGATACCAATAAGAGATTCTCAGAAGCACAAAACAATAAAACAGCCTTCACTGGCAACTTTAGAAAATCAGAGAAAATTTAGCAAAAGGTTTAATATGACATTCAATCAACAATAAACACTTCTCAAAGCATTAACTTGGCCCATTCAGCTTCACAAACTCTAAGCATGTTCAATTTAAAGTTAATCAGAGTTTGCGAGAGGACAAAAATAGAAGAAGTAGGCACACAAAGAGAGAAAGAAAAATAAGATTTAT